GAAAGACCTGCTACCAGTTCAGCGGCCGTGAGAACCAGAACGGAAGCAGTTGCAGAAGATAGAGATGCAGCTGGCCATGGTCTAAACAATGTAAGTGTCACCATGGTGAAAACTTGTCTTCCTGAAATGCAGCTGAAATCTACTCATGGTCCTGTTTTAAGTTCTTATAGTAAGGACGGAGCAAAATCTGGTTCTAGCAACCATCCGCAGGGTCATTTCTACACAAACACAAGCCGCTTTCAGGAAATGACAAGACCTGGTACCAGTTCAATGTCTGTGAGAACCAGAACTGAAGCAATTGAAAAAGATAGAGATGCAGCAGTCCATGGCAAGAAGAGCACTGGTATCTCTGGTCGACTTGTTCCAACCGAATACCATCCTTCAGGTGAAGGCAATCTATCGTCCTCGGTTATGTCACAGAGGACTGTCAATGCAGGAATAAATGCAGATGGCATGTCTTCCTGCAGGAGTATGCCTGCGCAGGAATATGTCCCTGCTTCTATTCCTTGTAAAGTTGCAAGCAATGCGTATCATGAAAGTAGAAAGTCTGTGGATACATGCACATCATTATCAATGGATGACCAAGGTAGCTGGTACTCAAAAAATTACCCAGGTCGCTCTCCGGCAAGTATTAGTTTGCCTTTTATGGAGCTACCTGGCCTTGAAAAGATGGAGATCTCAAGCTATGATCCGAGGACAGGTGAAAATAACTTTATGAATGGACGATCAATGAACATAGTAAGATGCCAACAACAGAAGCAGGTGAGTGGCATGACCAGTGCTATGCAAAGTCAGAATAAGATTGGTTTCAGCGATTCTCAAGCTGGGAAAAAGGCCCCAGATGGTTTTGTGAGACGTGATAATTGTCATTCGTACCAACCCACCATGCGCTTAATGGGCAAGACAGTCTCACTTTGTAAAGGTAGCATGGAGCAGGAGGTACCAACTACAGGGAAGTGGATTGACAAAAATGTTGTTGGAGACCGTCCCTCATCAGTTTCATGCCAGTTGCCCCCAAAGAAGGTGTTCCCTTATCAAGATTCTGTGATACCAAGAACTCGTGTTCATGAATCGTCAGATACTTTGCCAAGGATTCCCAACAGTACTTTTGCAGAGGCAAGGCCTATTGTCAGTGATGCTCAAAATCATAGGCTGCCACAGACTAATATTGTTTCTTCAGCAGTTAAAGATTACACTTGGAATTCAGGCAGTCAGTTTGGCCGGCAAGCTCAGGTAAACAAAGAATATGTCATAGGCAACTCAAGGACCAGGCATATGGAGTTGTCTCAGCTACCCGAGTTGATAAGCATTCATCGGAACCAATACTTGCACTTAGGCAATCCTGCATCAAGCATGTATGCAGAAGAACACACTTTTGTTGGTTCAGCAGTAAATCGATCTTCTCCTTCATTTCCACAGTGGTCATTAAATACAAGCATGCAGGGGAAGTACCAAAATCCCACTTCATTGGTTTACGAAGATCCTAGATCTGTTCGTACCCACCAACCTCCCTGCCAAGTACCTGGAGCAAATCTATTTTCAGCATCAAACATATCTTTTCATGACTACGGTACAAAAAATGCTGAGTCGAGAAACTCTTATCAGCGAGCACATCCTTCTCTTCCAAGTAGTGCGGCAAGTAAGTTCCATGACTACTGTACAAAAGATGTCGATGCCAGATACTCTTATCAGGGAGCACATCCTTCTCTTTCAACTAGTGTGGCAAGTAAGTCTATTTGGGCAAGTAAGTCTACTCGCGATGTTCTGAATATAGATGGCAGGAAGGGTGTTTCCCTAGTTGATGAAAGAAGCAAGAGACCAGGTTGTGCAGATAATGTTTCACAGCAACCTGCAAAGAGGCAGCTTGTTGCAGACAAACCGGAGTTAACAGGTTCGATGTTCCCATGCATGGAAAAGTACTCGTTTGGCTGGTCAGTAAATGATACAGTTGGCCCGCGGATGCTTGACTTCAGTAACAAAAGTAGCAGGACATGCCACACAAATATCAAAAAATGAAAAAACAATAACTTAGGGGGGATGTCAGTTCCAGTTGTTGACGCAAGATCAAGGACTGTAAGCATGTTTGCGGGAGCTAAAAGCACGCTGAAGAACGATCATTCAAAGATGCCACATTCCACTAAATTTTCAGTTGGTAATAGTGGAATGTCAGAAAGAAACAGTGGAGTGTTCCTGTTCCACTTATTTCTTTGGTATTTGAATGGTAGGCAAAAGGGAAGCTGTAGTAGCCTTTTCTGCATTTCTCAAGATGTTAGTTTAGCAATCAGTCCATTGCTTGTAAAAACTTTTGCGAGCAAATGTGCAAGAATATTTTCCTTAGAATAGTACTCCCTCCGTAAACTTTTATAAGACGTTTTAGGTCACTAAAGCGTGACCTTAGACGTCTTATGAAAGTTTACAAAGGGGGTACATACCATGGCATATCACAAGCACGGGGACATTTAAATAGCCAAATGTTGTCGATTCGAGTATTTTTTGGGGCCTCATGTTCCTACCAGCATGTGTTCTGGCCCCTTAACACATACTCCTTCCGTTCCAAAATAAGTGGTATGTTGAACTAAAACCGCAACACTTATTTTGGAAGCGGAGAGAGTAATATCAGTTCAGATCTGTAATCTATACTCTACGGTCCAGAAAGTAAAGCCATCATTTGGTAGATTCATTGATCAGCACTTCCCTGCACAACAAGCTAGGCGAGACAACGACAGGCGCATGGAAAGCGGGGTTTCTTTAAGAAAGCCGCGCCCACTGACTCTGAACTGAACTGAAAATGGAAACTTCCGATGCATGTCACCTAAGGTAGCCTTCTGGTCGTGCAACCTTGCAAAAGTTTGCTGGCGAAACGTGCAATCGCCTGAGACCCTCCGGTTTGTTCTTGCTTTCCTTGGGCCAAGAGTAAGGGAGACTTCGCATCGTATCTGCAAGGGTTCCTTCCTTGCCCACCTTTAAACCCCAGTTTTAAACTGCCCCAACACAAGTATAAAACCATCAGGTGTGTCCCTTGTCATCCACACCGTCCCATACCGACAGACCGACCGACCGAGGACGGCAAGAAACCTCGGAGAAAGCTTTCTTGCAAGCCGCGGCGACGAATCATGGGTGTTCTTGGTGCCCTTGCCAGGCATTTGGATTCCCTTGTTGGGTAAGCAGATCACACCTGTTTATTCACGTTGCTGCTTTTGTTCATTTCCTTGTGAACAGCTCTAAAATTTGTATTTCTCCTATGTTGCACTCCACAGGCCAGGAATCATGCTGCTTTATCCGCTGTAAGTGATTCATCAGAAAGAACGGTTGGTTTGAGAGATATTTGAACACTGTGCTCTGAATTCTAACAATGGTTGTTTTTTCTTGCACGATTAGATATGCGTCGATGCGCGCAATCGAGAGCCCTTCTTCCCTGGATGATCAGCAATGGCTTACCTATTGGGTGCTGTACTCCCTGATCACCCTCTTTGAGCTCTCATGCTGGAAGGCTCTGCAGTGGTAAGCCAGCAGTAACCCTCTGCTTGACTAGTTCAGTTATTGTTCTGAATTTCTCATATTTCGCTCTGCCTGTATATGTATGTATGTTTCAGGCTCCCTCTGTGGCCATACATGAAGCTCCTCTTCTGCTGCTGGCTGGTGCTGCCGATCTTCAACGGCGCGGCCTACATCTACGAGACGCATGTCCGGCGCTACTTCAAGATCGGCCAGTACGTGAGCCCCGGCTACAGCGAGAGCCAGAGGAAGGTGCTGCAGATGATGAGCCTCGACGCGCGCAAGTCCGTCGAGCGCTTCATCGAGACGCACGGGCCCGGCGCTCTGGAGAAGATCATCCAAGCCGTGAGTCCTCCTTGTTCCCTACACTATCTGCACATATGCTCTTTTGTTTCTGAATGTTTTTCTCTATCTTTTTTTCCTCGTTCCTGATGCGATGGTTTGACTTGTGCATGCAGGCTGAACAGGAAGCCAAGAGAGCCTAGGTTTATGTAGCTCGTGGTGAGGTGAAAGGCATTCTTTCAACCGGGAGAAGAGAGACGAGTGGAAATGGAAATGGCTGCCGTGTGTTGTGATCAATATGCTTCAGCGGCTGTTATCCTTGTGCCGTGTGCGTGTGTTTGATCTGTTGGTTGGGCTTGGCAAGATACCTTGCTGTACATAAGAGATGATGAATGAAACATTCAAGGCTACACATGTGAAATGTGATGTGATGTGCTCAGCACGAAATGGAGCGCAACCACAACCAGTCTCTGAATGAATGAAATTGAAAACCCATTCTAACTGTCCAACTAATGAACCAAATAATTCTGAACACATCTCCATCTCTCCACTGAACACCTTAATCCTTGAGATGAATGAAACCCAATTATTGTCTATACCCGTTACAAACTGCATGGCGTCGTATTCATCGCAAAATGAAAAGAGAAACAGGCTAATGTAGGCGAAAAGAATCAATCCTTTTCCATGCCCTTATTGGCGACAGGAAATGGGACTTGTACACTTCTGTACTGGATGGACCGCTCATGGATTGGGATCAAAGGGACGCGAGCGTGCTGATGTCCATCGGGTAGGCGTCGTTGGGCGACTGGGCGCGGTAGGACCGCCGGCCGACGATGATGTTGGCCGCCTCCGACGGGTGGAAGGCGTCCCAGAAGATGTGCTGGTCCCTGTTGGCGCAGGGCGCCTGGTACGGCAGGCACGTCACCTCCCCGTTGTTCCGGCCCACGCCGCAGCACCCGGCGGTGGACTCCGTGAACCCGTAGGCGGCGGCGTTGGCCAGGATGTCGGCGAAGATGTTGTAGGCGTTGATGTAGGTGAAGTGCGCGCCGGGGAGGGCGTTCATCTGGTCCACGAGGCCGACCAGCCGCCGGTTGAAGATCTGGATGGCGCTGTCGATGCGGCCGACGCAGGTGGCGCCGTCGGGGCTGTAGCGCGCCAGCTCGTTGGGGGCGCAGCCGACCTGGCCGACCCCGATCAGGGCCACCTTCCGGGCGCCGTAGCTGTACATGGCCTGGAGGTAGCGGCGGTAGTCGGCGATGAGCGAGTCGGCGAACTGCTCCGGCGTGTAGCGGCTGCCGGTGCTGTAGAAGGCCGGCTGGAAGTAGTTGTTGAGGTAGTCGTTGCTGCCCATGCCCACCGTGAAGATGCACTGGCTCAGCCGCTCCGACGCCGTGTCCCGGTCGCCCAGGATGTTCACCAGCGTCTGCACCGCCGTCTGGTAGTTCTGCACCTGCCCCGCGAACGGGATCCGCCCGCCCTGCATGCATCACGCCCACTCCATGAGATCAATTTCTTTTGGCTCTGCGACATGCATGATCGTCGTGAGCTTGTGATATGCACACTCCACGACGTACCAGCTGCTGGCCGGTCTCGGCACGGATCCCGGCGGCGGCGGAGGCGAAGTTGACGCCGTTGAGGAGCTGGTCGCCGCCCGTCGCGGCGTAGGGAGGGATGAAATTGTCGAAGCCCAGAAGTTGAGCTGCATGCGCATATCGGTAAAAAAAAAAATCACAACAAAGGTTAACGTTTTAGGTCGTGACGTGACAGTGAGAGACGTACGTAAGCACCATCGATTGATGTTTTATAAGTTGAAGGAGGACGATGGATCTAGGCAGTGGTTCTTGATGAATACCCCGGCAAATTTAATTCCGTGTAACCCTCACCGAACACCACTGCAAGTACTATATCGGCGGGCTGGCCCACGCTGGGACGTAGTACGTGATGGGTGCCTAGCCAAGAAGAGCTACAGCCACATTCCTTTATTTACACACCTACCTTGAACATTTCTACTACTCCTACTGCTGCATGCATGCTGTACTTGGGAAGGATCGGAATGCCAGGCAGGCCAGCTACGGACCGTTTTCTATCACCTGGCCCAGATACGCATGCAATGCATGCACGCACCGCCCATGACCGCCATAAACATGGTCGAATCGACCGATCGTGTCCGAAACGAATGCGCTGGTACGTGGTAGACGACAATTCACTTGAGCTATCCTATATGTCCTGTAGCTAGCTCCTGTGTAAAGGTAGGTAGGTGGTGCATGCTGACGACGGCCGGGTTAATTTGGTCTTGACGTGGAGTATGTATATGCATGCATGGTTAGTTAATTACCGATGACGTCCACGGTGGTGAGGCCGTTGGTGAAGCGCCCCGACGGGCCGCCGGCGAAGTCGATGCCGTAGGGCGGGTAGTTGGCGCGCGCCAGGGACACGATGTAGTTGTTGTTGCCGTTGTCCACCAGCGAGTCGCCGAAGATGAAGTAGCACGGCACCTGCGGGTCGCACCTCGCCACCGTCGCCGCCAGCGCCAGCGCCGCCGCCGCCACCAACCACGCCAGCCGCCCCACCAGCTCCATGGCGCCCGCGGCTACCTAGCTAGCTTCCGGTGAGAGACGTAGCTAGCTCGCTATAGCTAGGCACGGGTGCAGGTGAGATCGGTCGACGAGCTGGGCGGGGAGAGGGGTGGATATGGACGGAGAGGGCGGGAGGTCGACCAGGGGAGCTAGCACGAGTCACGCTTGCACATGACCCACGGGACTGAGGTAGAATATATAAGCGCCGCGCGGGCAGCGATGGAGCGGCGCCGGAAGGAGGCTGCAGTGATAGCAGATGGGCTCGTGGACGCGCTCCACTTGCATAGATCATAAGTAGATTGTTGGTCGCGCTTGGTGGGCGAGCTAGCCCCAGTACAGTAGTACTACTACTTTTTTTCATTCTAGAATACCCCCAATACAGTACTGGCATTAGCCATGTGCCGATCGATCGAGTTTTGAGTGACTTAGGCGGTGTTCGGTATCGCTCCGCTCCACAACTGCTCTTCAACAGTTGGGCGGAGCTGCATCTCAAAATAGCGAAATTGCAGTTTCCCCGCTCCGCAGATTCCGTGATTACCGAACAAGGCCTTAAGTTATTAAACTGGGAAGAGGGGCCGGCCGAAAATACAGGTAATTCCGCACGGCTTTCAGAACCGTGCATCACCGCATTTAATTGAATAGCACAGTAACATGGCCTTGTCTTCTACGATAGAATCGCGACAACCCGTGCACGCGCGATGCTGTCAAGTGTGTGTCTAACGTGCGATTGTAATTACTGGTTTGCTTGCGGTGCAGGCTGCAGCTTAGATGGATCTGTATATTGCAGCTTTTGCCTATAGTTCATTTAATTCTCCGGGCTCCTAGATACCAACGGGGTTCAGTGAACGTACTACATGCAAGTGGGCACTGTAGTGTAGGGTGCTTGCATTGCATGCATGGCAAGTTCTGTACTGCTACTCCAGCTAGTACTGGCCGGTGGTTGGATTCGGTGCGGTGTGGTCTGTGCTGCGCCCGTGGCAGCATGATCAGTGAAGCACATGAACAGTTTTTACCGTGCGCCACAGTGCCATGTTTTTTCTTTTCAGAACAGGACACGCCGAGAAGAGCTAGCATTTTCGTGCATTCCTTTTTTTTTTTGAAGAGAGGCAAAAGATTTGCCTCATTCATTTAATAAGAGGAATAGAGTTTATGGTTATGTTACAACACAGACAGCGTCACAACAACACAAGTGAATGTGACCAACTACTCTCGCGTCATCAAGTATCCCAACTTTCTAGCACCCACAGTTACCCAAAGCATGGCCTCCTTCTTGATGTTGGCGAGTAGGACCGTTGGTGGGGCACTCTTGTGACGGAACACTCGCGCATTCCTCTCATTCCAAATGGTCCAGGCGGCGAGCATGGTGAGCGAGGCCATCGCCTTCCTGTTAGGGGTAGATGTGTCGGAGAGGCCGACCCACCACTCCTCGATGTTGTCCGAGAGGTGCCATGAGGATGTATCGATGCTCAGCAGTTGCAGCCAGTCCTTGACTAATCCCCATAGGCGGATAGAGAAGCGGCATTTGTAGAAAAGGTGATCAACAGATTCTTGCTCCCGCTTGCAAAGTGCACAAAGGCCACAGTTTGGCCATCCGCGCTTCTCCAATCTGTCCGCCGTCCAAATTCTATTCTGAATAGCCAGCCAAGCGAAGAACTTGACTTTGAGGGGAGCCCAAGCCCTCCACACAGTGTGCTCCATGGGGGATTTGATTGTGCCAAGGAATTGCGCTTTGTATGCCGACTCGGCCATGTATTGCCCGCTAGCGGTGTGCTTCCACACAATATCATCCTCGGCATCCGCCTCGAGATGGAAGCCACGAAGTGTGGTCCACAGGGTGACAAACTGACGCAAGTGATTTAGCGAAAAAAAGTCTGGTATGCAAATTTTCGAGACCCACGCATCGTTGTTGAGAGCTTCGCGCACCTTCCAGTTTTTCCTCGTGGACGCCTCAAAAATTAGAGGTGCAATGTCCCTAGACTTGCGGTCATTCACCCATGGTGCATTCCTCTTCAAGCACCTGCATTCGTGCAAGCCGGCCCCAATTATGTGCCAACTACTCCGGGGTTTACTACTAACTATATTGTTTATGAGATGATGAATTTAAGCACCTCAAAAAAAATTAAATGCAAGGAAAACCACGAAGTCGCTTCCTGTAGAAAAAGGTAGGCTAGCTGCTTGTACGTACCGTGACTCGCAAATGATCGTTTCCACGAAAATTACAGGCAGTAGTACAAGGCAGTACCGGTGGAGTACCAACTAAGAAAGCATTTCATCAACTTAAGTGAGGCCGCCCGTAGGCCGCAGCGGCAAGTGACTAGGCATGGAGGACGTACGGCACTAGTCCGTGAGATGGGCCATGAACCGCGGCATGGAGTCCGTCGACGAGCGCATAGAGAGGCACCTCCATTAATGCCGGTAGGAGGAGGAGGCAACGCGAGCGGTGAGCGCCATCAAGTTGAAGAGCCATCGATCGGCCGCCCCCAAATCATGCATGCGGGTTTCCCAGCGCTTGCGTTGCGTTGCGGCAGCGCGAAGCAGCCCCCCGGCGCCGAGCTGGCCGGCATTCCGCGCCGCGCAAACCGACGGCCGCACATGCACGCATGCGTGCATGTCACCCACAGGAGAGGAGAGGACGACCCATCAGAACGGGTGAGCAAAACAGCTAGAGCAGACTGCAGACCTGACCTACCACGGCGGCGCGTTACTCGCGGCTGCAGATAGATATGATAGAGTCCCGGGGCTCTGCGACTGCTCTGACGCTTCGTTTCCATGCAGGAACGGACTTGCCAAGGACGGGCCAGTGGTTGTAATGGTCGGCTCGCTGCCATGAGTGGCCGCCCGCAAGGATTGGATAGCTAACCTTGCACCTGCAGGGAATGGCACGGTCGTGTTGGTCAACCGCTGCTGCGCATCATCGAGGTCGAAGCTTCTATCGTGGCCTTAGCTGGGGCCTGGGGCTAAGTGGTTGTGTAATATTATGCCGCCAGAGCTGTTGCGGGTTCTGTCCCTCAAACTCTTCTTCATAATCAATAAAAATGACAAATCCTTTGCCTCGTTTCAAATAAAATATGTATATGTCCTAGACTTGGAACACAGAACGGCTTACTTTTCTTTCTTTCTTTGCGGGGTAGAGAGCGGCTTACCTTGACAGTGCAACTGATTTACTATGCTCCCAGCGACTAACACTACACCGAATTCTGCGATATGGGTACCAATTGGGATGAGGTAGCATGGACAAAGTCCCCAAAATCGCTCGATCTATTGGCCTGGGAGTCTGAGAGACGACCTGATGCCAAGACCAATCAGACACTTCAGCAACATTGCAACAGCGTGACATATATATGGATTGATTAGTTTTTTTGGCTAGTTTGTGCTCTAATTTTTCGAAAGGCCTAACTACTAGTACTCTCTCCAATCCTTACTAATTATCGCTAATTTAGCACAATTTTATTGTAACCCGCAAAAAAAAGCACAACTTTATTGTAGTAAATCAACGATGATTTATATGGATCAGAGGGAGTAGTATTTTTGGGTAACGGACGTACCGATTTATCCTTGACCCGTCCTGTCACCACTGCAGATAAAGACATCATAGATGGGGCTTAAAAAGAACACCCTTTTTTTACAGATCCATCTGTGAGTTAATGCGAGTGATGAGTTTGTTTTCACCGACAGTCACCCGAGGACCCGACCATGGAGAGTAAGTAGTAGTAGCGATGGTGCTCCGTGTCTGCCCGTTAGCGATGAGCATGCAGGTGATGGCCTTCCCGTGTTTGGATGTCAGTGGCTTGTGACTATCGTATTTTGGCGATAAATATTTTAAATATTTTTTATTATTGATTTAAATAAATGCACAGATTAGAAAGCATTACATGTTCATCTTCAGGCAAAATAATTAGATATGTTCATACATTTCATTTGTTAGTATGCTCTTTCATAAATCCCTTCCCGAATGGAGTAAACGAGTACAACCATAGCGTCCCATATGGGTGTGTGCCTAGATGTGGAACTCTCGGAAAGGAAGGAGCGGGGCAATTAATGATAAAAAGTGTTTGAGCACATCAATTTCTTCAACAAAGGTATACTTCAGCATCTCTTGCATATTCCCATCTTTTCTTCATTGATGTTCCGCAGCCAAGGCACCCAGATCCACACATGCAGGCCGCGAGAGGAGGGGATAGGCCGTGTTGCCCATGTTCCCTGCGTGTTGCAACACTGTTGGGAGAGGATGGAACCGCGATGTGTTACACACGCGCATCATCCATTGTCACGAGGGAGGTGTTTGTGGATCGGCCTCTACCATCGCAGTGGTGTTGCAGTGGTGTGAGGCAAAGAGGTGGGGTGGTGAAGTTTGCTGCCATGACTAGAGGGTAAGGAGAGGGCGGTGTCTAGGATGAGCTCTAGAAAGGTGACAACCTTTTTGGTATGATTTAAGTCACCCCTCGAATAACGAGCAGCAACTAAAAACGACCAATGGATAACCATTCGTAGCAAACGAGGCGATGCCACAATCAGAAAGGTTGACACATCCGTAAGTACTGAAAGGCTGAAGCCCCGCTTGGATTGCCGTTTATCTCCTAAATACTCCCTAAAACGATAGACACCTTGAGGTGTCTTTTTTTTTCCAGCCAAAAATCACGTACGGGCCGGTAACATACACCTGCAAACTAAATCCGTGTGTTTAAACTTACACCGATACCATGCAGGGCCTGAACATCGAGAGGCATGGTTAATTACCATAACTGGAAACATACCATCAATAATAGTGTCAACCAAAGTGTTGCTGATCGCCTGATCCTCACACTACCGACCGATGATTTCATGTGCCGTCAGTGGAGACTCATACGACCCCCCCCCTGAGCAGCTACTGATGGACGATTTATGTCTCGTGTTTGTTTATTGAGTCATTTTGGATTTAAGGAACCATGAACAATTCACAGCGAGCTGCCTGATGTGCAATTCCACATGTTTGGTATGAAGAGAAATCTAGAAAATATTCCTTT